CATGCAACCAACCAACCAACCACTCTCTTTCTACCTACACCAACCAGCCAGCAACACCTCCTCCTCCTCCGCCTGCCTGGCGGTCCTTGCTCCCGCCGGCGAGCATGGCGACCCACAAGCTGTCGTCCTCTGAGCACCCTCACCAACCAGCTCTCTCTACTCAACGCTTGTAACCATGCTGCCTTCCCAGCACCAAGCTGCACTGTACATCCAATACAACATGTATACAGAGAGCACATTGTGAGTTTCCTTTCTCCATCCCATCCTAAGTGTGAACACAAACAACCCGTACCCCACACCCTCAACTCAGGTTGTCACGCGCTTGTCTCTGAAGCCAGACACAAATATGCGTACCTTGTTGACCGGGGTGTCAGGGTCAAACTGTTGTGGATCCCCTCACATAGGCTTCATAAAACATGACAGAGTTGATGCCCTCGCCAAACTCGCGTCTAACAAAGACACCGTTGAATACAATTTGGGCCTGTCAAAAGGAACCCTTAAAACTGTAATTAGGAAAGAACTTATTGATGAGTTTGACGCAAGTAGACTAGTGCAAACAGGCACTAGTCGATCCATAGTTTACCATGATGAGATGTATCAAGTGAAACATGTATATGGAGCAAGTAACAAGATCACTAGATTACAAGATGTTGTAACCGCTAGATTAAGGTTAGGATGTAAGTACCTCTGGCAGTATGTTCCTCAAGCAGATGTAAACAAAACTAAATGTAAAGTGTGTGGCCAGACATATAGCCACACACTTGAACACTACGTCCTCGACTGTGTGAAGATAGAACCTTTTAGGGACAGGTCCAAGCACACTGTGTGTGAAATGGCACAACACTTCATCTTTAATGGCAAGATAGCCGACATATTAAGATTGTATCCACTTTTTTTGCACTTAGTAACTATATCAGTTCTCATGTACAGGACCAAATACACAATGTGTTTGAATACTTCTCATGCAAATGTGAATAGCAAAGTGTGAGGCCAGACATACTGCCTCACACGCCTGTACTCACGCATTTGTGAATAAGTTACCCTTTATGTATAGAACTAAACAAATAATGTAATTGAAATATTGTGTAACATTCAGTGCCATAATATCCTGACAACGGGGATTAATTATTATGACCCGTTGTAAACTCTATTCTGTAATCCTTTTGCGCTACCGCTCACAGGATGAGTGTGGGGTGCACAATAAAGTAGCCGCTGCAAGCGGCAAAATAAAATATCAATGGCTGTCCCGCCAGTCTCCGGTAATTCCCCGACAATCTGTATCAGTGTACAGACAACAACAAGCAGATAGAGTTTCACCAGGTCCCAGACACACACTTGTGCTCTGTAGTCTTCTTTAATAAACAGTAATTCTTCACAACACTGTTAACAGGGTAATGCTTCACAGCTGGACTCCACACTTCCAATACATAGTCGGCACACTACCAGTGTACAGTTCCTTAGTCTTCTCACTTTATATTAATCACAACAGTCCCACAATACTTGCACAACAATTATCGTCAGGTGTTCTTTTTACCTTTAACCTCTTCACCACTGATCGACTCGTTAGCCGCTTGGGCAATCGGTCACGTCTCTGATTACTTTTCTTTTTCTTTTATCCTGTTCACCACTGATCGGCTCGTTAGCCGCTTGGGTGATCGGTCACGTCTCTGTTACGCACTGTTGGCAAGTACTGGGCATGCACCGGCTCCTGAATGTACCTGAACCCGCTCCAGTGTTGGTCAGTCTTGAAAGAGCTCACACTCGGGGCCGTCACACTTTCTGGTAGATTGTTCCAAGAGTTTACAACTCTCACTCCGAAAAAGACTGACCGAGTCAGCTTCACGCTGTTGCTTAATTACCTCATCATCAAATGCCTAGAACATTCTAGTGTTGTCCAGACGAGGGAGGTCGGCTCGAGACCTGCCTGGAGAATTCTAGAATGATCTAGGCTTCCAATAAGAAGTAAATCAGAACAAAAATGATGCAATACATTCTAGATATTCTTACATAATTAATCCATCAACATCTACAAGAAAATCTCCCTAAACTTGCCGTAATAACTGCTGAATGGTACAGAAAACAATTAAAACACCTACTGTAGTTTACAAGATGACATTACAAAGTTATGCCTCGGAATAACACTACCCCCTCCCTCATTCACTATATTCATGTTAATCCTCAAACTTGGTAGGTCTCCTCCTCTACTGCTCCTGCCGCCGACGTACTCAGATCGGTCCCCCTTTCCTGTCACGTCCAATTCCGCAGAGAGGGAACAGTACGGTACGGTCCTGAGCTCTTCCAGGATCTCCGGTCTGGTCCTCGTCGGTGGTAGGTGGCTGCTCCTCAGAGTCTTCCCAGGTGTACTGCCCTGGCCCATGATACTGCCACAGACGATTGACGTGGACTACCTTCTGGTGCCCCTATTATAGAATGGATATAAATTTACTAGAGTCGGTGCAGCGAAGAATGACAAAAATGATTCCGGGACTTAGAAACCTTCCATATCAGGATAGGTTAAAGAAACTTAACTTGCATTCCCTAGAAAGACGAAGAGTGCGGGGAGATATGATAGAAGTATTTAAGTGGGTGAAAGGAATCAATAAAGGGGATATAGATAAAGTTCTTATAATATCCGAGCAGGATAGGACTCGGAGCAACGGATTCAAGTTGGATAAGTTTAGGTTTAGGAGGGAGATAGGAAGAAACTGGTTCACAAATAGGGTGGTAGATGAGTGGAACAAGCTTAGCAACTTTGTAGTAAGTGCGGGAACTCTGGAAGTTTCAAAAGGAGGCTAGATAGATTCATGGATGATAGAGAGTGGTAGTAACTCTTGACAGGAACTGCCATGCACAGGCCAACCGGCCTATTGCAGACTCCTTATTTTCTTATGTTCCCCTGACCCGCTAGGTCACATCTGAAAAGCGTTCCACTACAGTGTACGGCCCTTCCTATGGACTCTGCAACTTCGGTGACTGACCCTTCTGCAGAGAGTTATACAGCCAGACCTTATCACTGTCCTTGTAATAGACCTGGCTTGCTTTGACATCATGGTTGCGCTTCATCCCTTCACTCGAGAACTCCAGAGCTCCTCAAACTTGATGGTGGACCTCCGTCAACCTTTCTTGGAGGCCTCTGATGTAACTGGTGGTTTCATCAGGAAGTTCATCATCAGGTGGTCTTCTTGTCAGCAGGTCCACTGGCAGCCGCAGTTCGTGACCCAGCATCAGTTTTGCCGGTGTGTATCCCGTTGACTCGTGGACAGCCGACCGATACGCCATCAGCAGAGCAGGCGGCTTCTGGTCCCATTCTGTCTGCCCCCCAGCACAGTACTTGGCCAGTTCTTGTCCCAATGTCCAATTAAACTTTTCAACCATTCCGTCTGACAGTGGCCGAAGTGGAGTGGTCCTAGTCTTCCTTATGCCCAACAGTTTACAACACTCGCGGAACACAGCTGACTCAAGATTTCTACCCTGGTCCGAGTGCAACTCGTGGGGTACACCAAACCGGCAGAAGAACTGGTCCACCAGCACCCTGACAACAGTCGTGGTGTACAGCGTACATCATTGTCATTCCTAAAAACAGCCTTTAATTCATATTACGCTACATAACATTCAAATCCACCGCGCTTGTAGAATCTCAGAAAACGGGAAACATTGATAAAGGATAACTCACCTACTCAATGTTACTGAATCATTTGTTGAATTGTACCCAGGTACGGTCATATAATATTAATGGTATGCATTCATAGCATTAAGGAGAACTCAAGGTATCTATAGGATGGTTGTGAGAGTCCAATTGATCCGTGCTAGTGTACTATCTGGGCTAAGTGTAGATCATAGTTTGAAGGTCATACTATTTATGCCTGTGAACGTTTAGCGAACATAACTTCTGCAGATATCATGTGAAAATACATGAGAACAATGATCTGGAAAAAGGATAAATGTATCAGAACTATGTGAGGTGTTGGAAGTGATCCAGAAACTATACTTGAAAGGAAATATCTTGCATGCGTCGGTGTGAACTTAATACATCTCTTTTTACTTTTACTTTTATCCTCTTCGCCACTGATCGGCTTGTTAGCCGCTTGGGCGATCGGTCACGTCTCTTTTCCTTTATATTCTTCACCAAAAGGTCGGCTCGCTAGCCGCCCGGGCGATCGGTCACGTCTCTGTCACGCACTGTTGGCAAATACTGGGCATGCACCGGCTCCTGAATGTACCTGAACCAGCTCCAGTGTTTGTCAAGTCTTCTCTTGAAAGAGCTCACACTCGGTGCCGTCACAACACTCTCTGGTAGATTGTTCCAAGAGTTTACAACCCTCACTCCGAAAAAGTTTGCCCTCACGGTTTTCTGGACTTGCGGCTTCTTCAATCTTGAGCTGTGACCCCTTGTGGGGCGAGCGTCCGCCAGCTCCAAGTAAGGACACTCAACTGAGTAGTGCCCCCTGAGATGCTTATAAACCTCAACTAGGTCCCCCCTTGCCCGTCTGTAGTATAAGCTAGGCAAGTTCAGGCGCTCCAATCTCTCAGGGTAGCTGAGGTGCCGAAGTGCAGGCACCAGTTTGGTGGCCCTCCTTTGAACATTTTCAACCAACTGACAGTCCCTAGCATATCTCGGGGACCAGATGGGGTGACAGTACTCCAGATGGGGAAGCATTTCACTCCTGAAGATCGTCACGAGGGACGGACCGTCTAGATATCTGAACGACCTTCTTATAAGACCCAATAATTTATTTGCCTGATTTACCTTCTTCTCACAATGGCCCGAGAACTTCAGCTCATTGTCAACATACACACCTAGGTCCTTCTCACACACAGTCTCAACTAGTACATTTTCTTCATCCCGTTGGGACATATGGTACGCCTCCTTACCGTTGGTACGCCCCAGGTGCATCCTCTTACACTTCGTGACATTGAATCTCAGCAGCCATTCCTTCGACCATTCCTGGAGCCCACAGAGGTCCTTCTGCAGCTCTTCACAGTCCGCTTGGTTCTTAATTTCCCGAAATAACTTGCCATCATCGGCAAACATTTGTATGGAGGAGTGTACAACGTCAGGCATATCATTTATGAAACAAACAAACAACAGCGGGCCCAATACACTACCCTGCGGTACCCCACTTGTTACAGGTACAGATGACGATTTCGTGCCATTAATCACCACACATTGCTTGCGGTCATGTAGAAAGTCTTCTATCCACGCTAGGACATTTCCCCGAATTCCGTACCCTTCCAGTTTGATTTTCAGCCTTTCGTGGGGTACACTGTCGAAAGCCTTGGCAAAATCTAGGTAAATATTGTCGATATTACCACCCTGTTCTAGAATATAGGTCCAAATATCCAATACCTTGAGCAATTGTGTCAAGCAAGAGCGCCCCGGCATAAAACCGTGTTGGCAATCTTTTACAAGGTTGTTTCGTAGTAGATGTTCCATCGCTGCATCTCTGATAATACTCTCAAGTACTTTACATATTATGCTGGTCAGGCTCACTAGTCTATAGTTGTTCGTGGAGTGACTATCGCCCTTCTTGAAGATAGGACTCACATAAGCCACTTTTCATTCACTGGGGACCATTTGTTCATCCAGGCATTTACAGCAGAATCGTCTGTCCTCAAACGCAGGAAGGTTAGTTATCCTCTCTGTGAACACTGAGTGAAAAGCAGTTGTTCAATGCCCGAGTTATCCTGGTCAGACCTGCTGGGTGTAACTACCATCTTCGCCTCAGGTCTGATAATTCTACTCGTGCCACTCTCGACTTTGTATAGTGTTTTGGGTTTGACTTCCACCTCGCAACCAGCCTTTTGAACCCTTTTCAGCCTTGCGTCTCTGCCTTTTGCCGATTGCCTCTGCATATTATCCTCCGTTCGTTCATCGTTTGACCCAACCCACGTCTTGAATTTCAGTTTTCTTCTTAATTTGTCGACCGCCGCATGGTTCATGTAGATCCCCTCGTATTCCTAGAAGCACTGGGTTTGGTCTTGGGTATATATTTATCGATCAAATGGGTCATTTTACTAGTTATGATATTCAGCGTAGTGTCTGCGTTCTTATACCCACGACATGTACAGTGCAGTGATCAGAGAATCTTGTCTGTGTTCAAGTAGCGCAATGTGTGAGGGGAGGATCCCTAATTACAGTTTTAAGTGAAGTGGATATACCCATGCTATGAACATTCGGCTTTTGTTTCAGGGTAGCGTCCTTTGTACCCGGACTACAGGTTTGAGTTGTTGATATAGCCCAATTAATTTCCCCAGGAACTGTCAGACCTGAGCCGTATTCTAGTATGTAAGTTAGGATTAAAATATGTATTTATAAGGCATAAGGTCATGATAAACAGGAGTGTTCATGTGAGAACCATAAGAAATTAAAGTGAAAATTAAAGATTGGAAACTGTAAGCCTACGTCGGTGAGAGGTGCGGGACCTCATGCCTCAGTGGCACCTCCTCTCTCATCAACTCAGGTCAGTGAACTTCATCGGGCTGTATTCAGCCCTAAAAAAAAGAGACTTATATAGCAGTTATTACAGTTACAACTTTGCCTGGTGTATAAAGTGAAATAGTAATGTGATGGGGTGGGTGATAACGGCCCATCAGGCATTATTTCTCAGTGGCACCTCCTCTCTCATCAACACAGGTTCCCCGGGTTTTGAACTCACCAGAACGGCGGCCATTACCTCGTGTTGGCCCCACCATGTGAGATGACTACTCACAGTTATGCTACTCCGCTGTGAACCTGTGGATTCCCGGCATACCACCACACATGAGTAGGAATACATAATGGAATTCTTGAGAAACTCCGCGGTCGTCACTTGGAGCGACCTATAATACCAGTATGAGGGCCACTACTGCCACCATTTATGAGGGCCTCTGGGTGCCAGTAACAATTCCTTTTACTCTCATACTTATTACCATTGGTAGCGTGACGAAAGGAGGCTCGTGGGTAGATGTAATGATAGTATCAAGCAATAGGGAAGAAATAACGGTAAATACTGTAGGTAAATAATAGACAATATACAATTACAAAATTTATTTAAACATTAATATGAAATTAGGAGAAAGAATTTATTTGTACATAAGAACATAAGAACATAAGAAAGTGGGATACTGCAGGAGGCCGACTGGCCCATACAGGGCAGATCCCTTTCACACCCATCCCAGCACTTCCATGTGCCTATCCAACTTCGTCTTGAAGCTCCCTAGCGTCCCCGATCCTACTATAGCACTCGGTAGCCTATTCCACATATCCACAACTCTATTACCAAACCAGTGCTTGCCTATATCCTTTCTGAATCGGAATTTATCTAATTTAAAGCCATTTTGTTCTAGTTATTTCGTTATTACTGAGCTTCAGAACATCTTCCATTTTACCCTTGTTAATCCCACTTACCCACTTGTACACCTATCATATCTCCCTAACTCTACGCCTCTCTAATGAATGTAAGCCCTAAGCTTTTCAGTCTTTCTTCATATGGAAGGTTTCTGATATTATGGATCATTTTGTCATTCTTCTTTGTATCTCTCCAAAGAATCTATGTCCATTCTATAATAAGGACACCAGAACTGAACCGCATAATCCATGTGTGGCCTCACTAATGCTAGGTAAAGTTTCAAGATAACGTCAGCAGTTCTGTTACTCACAGACCTAGATATGAACCCAAGAATCCTGTTTGCCTTGTTGCGAACGCTAATACATTTTTTCTAGGTTTCAAGTCGTTGCTAACAAATACACCTAGATCTTTTTCACAAACTGAGTTTTCTATTTCCGTGTTACCTAGTTTATACTTAACGTTTGTATTCGTCTTCCCTATCTGTAGTACCTTGCATTTATCAGTATTAAAATTCATTTGCCAGTCTACTGACCACTCATGTAAGGTATCTAGATCTCTTTGAAGGTGTCCAAAGTCACTGTCTGAATTTATCACTCTCCCCATTTTGGTATCATCTGCAAATTTACGAAATCTAGTACTAGGCCCTCAGGCTCAACATACTCACACCACTACTGGGTGGACATATTCAATAACACTTCCAACCCTACTGGGTGGACATACTCAATAACACACAACTCTTATAGTCACTTAGCACCATAAAGACCAGGGGCAACTGCCACTACAACACTCAGTCGTCAGGGGTGATACTCAAGCAACAGCCATGGGGTCCAGCCACCATGGAGTACTTTCCGACGAACTCTGAAGATCCCAGTGGACTAATTCCACCACACAAATAGCCCTACTGAGTTAAACACTCATCCACCAATGATGGGGGCTGGTAGTGGTGTGTGGCTTGGTGATCCGGGGTCATCTCGCAGGCCGAGCGTTAGGGCCAGACGAGCCAGCTATGGGGGCCATAGGTAGTATGAAGTGTCTGACGGCCGGGTC